CATACCCTGATGCAGCGATCTGATTGGTACGAACAACATACCACTCGATACGCCAACATAGAAATATTATTATTTTTTTCTTAAAACAAATAACTAAAAAACAGGCGTACCTTCTTGTCATGCAAACACCTTTTATGTCACGGTAGTCACGCGAATATGATATGCGTTCTAATTGGGCAAAAGGGTGACCACGTGAGTGTCGTTTGTTGGACGATTAGTAAATGCTTTCGCACAGGTAACTGGGAAGTTTTAAGATGACTCGAACCGATCAGAGTTGGAACTGAGCCGCGACAGGAGAGAAAAATTAAGGTTTGTGGTTGGTTTAGAATAATTACTTCTCCTTCAAAGTGTGTGTTTAAAGAGTAACTACAGTTCGAAATTCCTTTTTATGTTCATGAGTGCAGAAGTGAATGACGATATTCGTTGTAAACAGATCTGGGAATATATTACTTCATTTCAAGTAAAATAACTGATATGTTTGCCAGACACGACTCATACTGTCATAAGCTATACAAGGGAAATAGACGAATATATTAAGTGCGAAGTAAACGAAATCTGGAGCGTTTTACGCCTCTGAAAGAAGAAAGAACTAACGCCGTGAAATGGAACCTCTGAATATCAAAGAAATACCGCGAATTAACTGATCGCTTTTCTCAGATTCGTGTTTCAATCTCATGTCCTTGGCGTTGTGATCGGAGGTTTCTGATTTGTTTTTCGCTGGCTCGTGTGATTGAACCAATTTCAGTCTGTTTACAGTCCATTTGTTTTCTCTTCAATCGACTTTTAGAGGGAAACCTATGAATCGCGATCGAGTCTTTTCGCCTCGTGCTCTCTGCTTAGCTTGATAAAAAGAAATAAAGAAAAGCCACTTTAAAGATTGAGACGAACAATAATGCTGGGCTAGATGATCAACTTTTTTTTAAAGAAAATTTTTTTAAAGTGTTTATTGGCGTATTGGAGGATTTTTCTTTGTTTGTATTATTTGAACCTTGGACGCGAGTCACAACATTTGGGGTTTGAGCTCCGCTAGCTTCCTTATCGAAAGTTCACATGTCTGTTATGATATGTAAAACCTTCAGGAAATCAACATTTGCTTTTCTTCGACGAGACCGTTCTTGAATGTCGATCAGCTGATCTTTCTTATGTAACACTTAAAGGTTATGTAACCCTCGAATGTTATGTAACCTTCTGGACTGGTTATGTAATCGCTTGGTACATTCCAATCTAGTTCTCGAGTTACACGAGTGAACATTGAGATAAGTTAGTCGTCATGTTGTTGTTATATCGATAGCTCTAAAGGTAACCTGCCTCTCCAGTAATTAAAGTTTGTGTTCAAAGAAGCTTACTGGACTCAGACTCCCTATCTTGCTCTCTCGCGTCATAAAGGACAAAACTATGTCTGTCGTTGGATCTCCTTTTGTATTTCGTACAGTAACTAGCAACAAGATACTTGGAGCTCGATGAAAGTTTGATATGAAAAGTGAATTTCGTGTATCAATGAAAGGAATTGTTTTGTCTCCTTGTAAACCTTTTAAGTAAAGTAACAATTTTCAAGTCGTAGTTTTTCGGATTCATTCTTTGGTCGCAGAAATTGGAGGTTCAGCGTGAGCTCGTACAAGGTCTTATTTAAGAATGACTAAAATGTAATTCTACATGTTACTCAAGTGGGACAAGCGTGTGATGGAGATAATGAGACTGACCATGCTCGGTAGAAAATTCTGTGAGGTAGCTTTTTCAGGAAGGCGTTATGTCTTTAACCTTTCGTGTGACAAAAGAGTTAAGCCTTTTCAGCAGTTTCAAACTGCCTGTTCAGAAAAATGAATTACACCTGAGTGTGGTTGCGGCTTGGTGTAGAAATATGTTGTGGACGATGAAAAGTGGAGGCAAGGTATTCTTTCGTTCTGCTTGTACAAATGCTCCCTGATGATAAAGATTTAGACGGCTCATTTGTCTTAGTCATAGTATGTAAACATAAAAGTTGCGATCAAGCGGGGGTTAGTTTTCGCATCTTCGATTTGTGCTCATAACAAGTTGTAATCAAGCTGTATTGTCTCCCGGCTTTACGTTGCAATACTTGTTTAAGACAATTATTTTAAAATCGTTTGGCCATTAACCTCGCCGAAGTAAAATGTTAGATCAAATCCTCTTTAAAATTGCCAATTCGCAATTCTGTTTGAAAAAGCATGTAGGT